GAAATCCAGTAAAATATCAAACCTCCGGTACCGATGCGGCCGCAAAAAGATCGTGCACGAACGGGACCGACGGCGACTGAGAATAATTATTACATGTGACAGAAGTGCAACCCTTCCGCAAATTTCTGCAGATTTCAATACTGGGCCATCATCAATTATCAGCGTGAGAACAATTCAACGAGACATTATCGATATGGGGTTTCGGAGCCGAATGTCTACTCGTGTACCATTTATGACTGCACGACACAGTTTCAGGCATCGCCTAGGCCCGACATTGGACTTGTGGCGTCATGCAGTGTGCAATAATACACAAAAGAGAGTGGGTTTAACTTATCGCTAGTTTATTAATAATTATTAATAAATCATTAATAAAAATAATTTATTATAATGAATCCACCACCGAAATAAACAGTATCTACAATAGTTACATAAATGAAATAAATCGACCCCCCAAACCAGAAGTAATTTTCATTCTTCGGCTATCACACCCTCTACTTAAATATCGAATAGATCCGATCGTGTGAAGTACCGCAGAATTCCTACACAACTCGTCAATTTAGTTTAACTACTTCACGAGAAAAGACATTGCCGGCCCTAGCCTATGCGCAAACAGCCCGCACCCCACTCGGCGCGCTGCCTCCAATCCGCACAGCTCGACTTCTCGAAGAGGAAAGGGACCGGTGAAGTCGCAGCCGCCTAGCTTGGCTGGCAGCGTATTCCACCCCTTTCTCTGGGTTTTTACGTTACGTCACATCCTGACACCCCACCCTTTTCCCAAGTGGTCTGCCATGCGGTGCGCACATCTTGTTTGTGCATGTCGCTACAGACTGTTGATGGCTGGAAACACGTTTCATATTGTTTCGAGCAGATGAACGTGTACGAGTATGGCGACAATCTCATGAATCCATGGAACTTGCATGTTAGGAGACTGTTGAAGCTGGTGGAAGCTCTATGATGGTATGGGGCGTATGCAGTTGGAGAGATATGAGACCCCTCATACGTCTAGATATGGCTGACAGGCGTACGTACGTAAGGATCCTGTCTGATAACATGCACCCATGTGATTTATGTCCATTGAGCATCCCGAGGTAATATCAGCAAACAATACGACAGCCCATACGTTCAGAACTGCTACAGAGTAGCTCCAGAAACACTCTCCTGAATTTAAACACCTAAAATGGCCACCAAAATCCCCAGACATGAACATTATTGAGCATATCTTGAATGCCTTGCAACGTACTGTTCAGAAGAGATCTTCACCTCCTAGTACTCTTACTAATTCATGGTCAGCCATGCAGGATTCACGGTGTCATTTACTTCGAGCGCTGCTACAGACATTAGTTGAGCCAATGCCACGTCGTGTTGCGGCATTTCTGCGTGCTCGCGGGGACCCAACACGATATTCCGCAGGTGTACCAGTTTTTTTTGGCTCTCCAATTTATATAGAACTTATATTTGCCCCGGTCTCGCGAAGAGAAGGAGCAACTTATAGAGGAAAGAGCAATTAATGGAGGTCTGGTTGTGACCACTTATTCCAGTTTTTTAAAATACGTTCAAATGTTTGATACAGTGGCCTTTAAACTTGTGTCACTAAAAAGACTTTCTTTTTTATGAAATACTAGCAGGCTGTATTGATATATTAATAACAAAATAACATGACCCATCCCCACATGTATCAATTATATTCCAATAACTGTAGGGCCTATTTAACATTATGAGACCTACATGTGTGTGTTTTATATTTGTCTTCCTCTTAGGATTTTTAATGAAATATAGTTGCATTCTTATAGTACATTTCTTGAATTTTACCAATACAAGAACACACAATAACTTTAAAAAATATAATTGAAAATACGATTCTTTCTTTTAGTGAAAAGAAATGTTTGTTTACACATGATCAGAACTGAAACAATTAGCTACATTGTAATTACAATAAGCATTTTTTATAAGCCACTTAAAATTAATCCATGGGGCACGGACCATCTCCGGGCTGTATTGAAGATTCAAATAATTCATCCAATGACTTTAGCTCTGTCAGATGAAGAAAGGTGAATAAGGGCAGGGAAACTTGCCATTAATCAGAGAAGAGAGGAATTAGATGAATTTCAGCTACTAGCCATCGAACTGAATTCTTTCTAGAATATTTCATTGCTTTTTAAATGTCTGAAGGAAAGTTTGTGAAACACGATCTTGTGAAACTGAAAAAAACAACAATGACAGCCATTGGAGCACAAGATATAATTCCATGATGAACTCAGAAAATTTTTACCATCTGGGTATGGCCAGATGCAAACTTGAGTCTGTTCTACCAAGGTAGGTTTCTGATTGTTTGACTATATACCATGTTCCACTCTTTAATAAAATGGGTTCGCAAGAGACCTTTCACTTCATTTTTATTAATTAGGTTTCTGCTGATTTGTCTCTTTCTCAAATTCCTTATATTGACAACACACACAAAGAAGAAAACAATACAATAGTTTCATTTTACTGCCGTTTATATTTCTCAACGATAAAATATTAAAAATCCACAAGCAATGGGAAAAAAGTACTAAAATTAGTTTCTGGAAAACGAGAACAGTTTTCAAGCACACGAACTGCCATAGTAATAGGCCAATGACACATTGCATACACATTACAACTTGAAAAGTGCTTAACCGAATGGACAAAATAAATGCGAAGAAAGGGCATGAAATACACATGGGGAAGAGCAAGGTTATGACTATTATCAAATTAAAATTTACACTCTGACACTTGGTGAGTTAAGTATTGTCACTTAAATGAGAACTTCAATTTCAAAAATTGAAGCTCTTGATTAGATAGTCCCGCTTCTCCTAATTTAACAAGTGTCAAGCAATTTTAATCAAATTTTATAAGGATAATATATTGTCTATCAAAGCTGAATACATTGTAGTGGAATATATCAACTCATACATGTAGAAGAAAAGAAGTATATATGTCTACCGCAATGTGAACCTTGACTGAGCAGACAATAATTAATTCTATTGACTGATAATTCATTCCTTATATGCATGGCTAGTCCATTATTTTCACTGGCAACCAGCTATCACTCTTCAGAAGTACTATTTAATGTCAAGAAACAACAATAAAAAAAACTGTAAGTGGATAAGTGAGGAATATATCTACACTTGTTTTCTTAAGTTCTGGAATTCAAACACCATACCACAGTTAGATGAATATAATTTGTTTACCATTACAGTGTAAAGTCCATAATGAAACTCAAGGAGCCAAGTACATTCTCTTGTTACAGAGAATCTTGGTTATATTGAGAAAGTAATATCGATATGAGTTATAAAGTAAACGAATCATACTCAAATAAGGGAGTTTTTTTAATGGAGTGTTTCTGCTGTACATGTGATGGCGGCTCTGCAAGACTCACTCACACGCTCGCTCACTCACGCTCGCTCACTCACACGCTCGCTCA